TATGTCACTTTAGATAATTCTCCTACATGCTGTCTTAGTAAATCCCATCTAGAAATACTAAATACAGATCAGTTTTCCATGTTCTTAGACTTTTTGTAAAAGGATTCATACACTATATACTCTTTGTGCCTGGCTTCTTTTGCTGAACATAATGTTTTTGAGATTCATCCACCCAAGTTTCTTTATGTATCATTAGCCGGTTCCTTTTCATTGCTCAATAGTATTCCATTGTATGAATGTATCAAAATTTGTTTTTCCATTCTCCTACTGATAGATATTTAGGCTGTTTCCAATTATTTTATTTACTTTAAAAAATATTTTATTTATTTATTTATTTATTTATTTATTGAGCATGCAAATGGGGAGAGGTGCAGAGAGAGAGAATCTCAAGCAGACTCCGTGCTGAGCATCGAGCTTCATGCTGGGCTCAATCTCATAACCCTGAGATCATGACCTGAGCCAAAATCGAGCTGGATACTTAACTGACTGAGCCACCCAGTCACCCCTCCATTTATTTGATTTTAATGTTACAAATATTGTATTTGATATTTTGCATTAATTGAAGGGAAAAAGCTGCATGTGTGTATTCTGGTTTTGAGAAAATTTAGTCAACATAGGATTCTATTTTTATCTTTCTGTGCTGGGGTAAAAATTCAATTCCTGGTTATATATATGGATGTAAGGATATAAGATATACCTCAGGACTGCTGAGTAAACACCTGGTTTGTATTACTTAAAACACAATTAGACCAATCCACCAGAAGAAAAAATATCGCAGTGTTTTTGTTTTTATTTATTTATTGCAATGTTTTTAAAACCAAAATATATTTGGGTGAGGATGGGTAGATTTGGGGTTTCTCCAGAGAACACTGGCAAATTATGTATAGTTTTGAATTACCTTGGCCTTTCCCAGTCTCTATTTTTTTAAAAATGATTTTATTTGAGAGCTAGAGAGCGAGCACATGAGGGGGAGGGGCAGAAGAAGAGGGAGAAGCAGACTCTCCACGGAGCAGGGAGCCAGATGTGGGACTCAATCCCAGGACCCCAGGATCATGACCTGAGCTGAAGGCAGATGCTTAACCAACTGAGCCACCCAGGCACCACTCTATTATTATTGATAATTCATACATCCTCAGAACTTCAGATCTAGTAAAGGCAATTAGTAATCTAGTTGTCTAATTCCCCAGTGCTCTGCATATCATAAATACTCAATAAATACTGGTTGAAATGAAACTATTCATTTCACATATGAGAATTAAAACTCTAGGTGTCCCTTAACTGAAGAAAATCAGGTATTATAATCAAATGAAAAATCTGAAACAGGAGTGGTTTCTGCTTCATACAAGGATTCACCACAGATTCAGTTGTAAGCTGTGACAGACCAATACCTTAATTTTCAAAACTCTCATACAATTTTTCAGAAGTAAACCAGTCCTCATCAATATTTTATCTTTTCATAAGCAGCTTTTCCTTTTACAAGCATTAATGTTAATTTATTAGTTCTTGAATACGCAGCAGATATCAATAAGAGGAAAAAACCTAATGACAATATTGAAAAGGAAATTTACCCTTAAGAGTGATTTATAAAGTATTCATCCATACATAATCCGGGCTTCATAGTTTTCAAGTGGTGCAGATACAAACGTGTTAAACGATGTCTCTGCCAATCAGTCCAAGCTGAGAGCAGAAACAATCCAAGTTCAAAGGACACAGCATTTTAAATTCACAGATACTGACTTTGGGCATTTTACAGATAAGAACTATGGCCCATTTTCGGTACTCAACAAATAACTATTGCATTGGCAGTTTACTGCATTTGTCAAGGAATATAAAATATTTTTTGGTTAGGTGTCTTTTCTTATTGTGGCTAGAGTGTATTGTCTGTTAACAGGTGATAAATGCTAGACACTGCTGGGTCTTTTCTGTGACTTATGTAATTTATTTCTGAAATATATGTACAATATATGTGAAATTGCAATTATGCTTAAAAATGACTAAAAAGGAGATCCTATCAGAAGTGACTAGAAGGGGATTTCTGGGTCCTTTCATAACTAGTTATAGCACAAAACAATACATACATATATAATCCAGCATGTCTCTGAATCTAGAGCTTGAACTGGTAGCTTGGTTATCTGAATCAGTGTGGTGGTAACATTGGGAAAATTTCATATTGTAGGGACCTCACTATGGTGTTAGAAGTCCTACCATCAACTATCTTTTTTTTTTAAAGTTATTTATTTGAGAGAAAGAATGAGAGAGAGAGAGAGAGAGCACATGAGAGAGGGGAGGGTCAGAGGGAGAAGCAGACTCCCCGCCGAGCAGGGAGCCCAATGCGGGAATCCATCCCGGGACTCCAGGATCATGACCTGAGCCGAAGGCAGTCGCTTAACCAACTGAGCCACCCAGGGGCCCCTACCATCAACTATCTTAAAACAGGGAAAAACAGTGTAAATCCTAACTTTTTAAGAACTCACTTGAAGAAATTTATCCATTCCTAACCCAGGAAAAGGCCAAATCAAGAAAGTTAAAAAAACAAATAAACAAACCCAACCCCCACCCCCCCAAACAGTCTCGAAGCAGCTTAAAGCTGGTGTTACAGTGTCCTCACATAAAGGTCACATACTTTTTCTAAGAGTTCCTCAAAGTACCTATTTATACTCTTGGGACACAGTTGTGCACAAGCTTCATTATGCGGTTTTCTTGCCTGCAGCCTGAAAGCACTCAATTACCTGCGCTCACCGACAGCAGTAAGCAGCAAGGGCCGACAGGGAGAAGGGACAGGCAAACTGTAATAAGCAATTCAACTAAAAAAGCAAAGCTATTCAGTGCTTTGGGGTGTGAGCAAACTGCCCTGCACAGCGTCACAAGGACAGAGGGCTTTACATCTGTAAATGTGGTCAGAATGATTACCAGTTCTCAGGGACGCATACTTTACTTTCCACGCGTCTGTCGAAACTATTATTCTAAATCTGGAGAGTTTAACAACTCTTGGTCACCGCACTGTCATTTGCCTCGGACCAAAAGGGTCTAGTACCAGTGAGTCCTGAAACCTTTTAGCTTTCGCACTGGGCTCGCTGCGTTCACGATTACATTGTAACACCCTAGTATAAGCCTCTGTGGGTCGTTAGGAGAGTACCTACGGCAACATCACTTTCCTCAATCCATTGTTTCAGTCGTTGCTTCCTAAAATACCCTTATCTAATATTCCATGTCACGGAGCAGTAAAACAAAACCACTGACTATTTAAAGACTCTGTGCCTTGTTTTCCCTAAAATGAGAATAGTTCGTACCTAACAGTGGGTGCTGTGAGGATTAAATGAGATAATGTATGTAAAACACTAAGCACAATGTCCGGGGCAGCGTAAGCGCTCAGTAATGGTCGCTATTATTATTTTAGCACTGGGAATCTATGTCGGCCCAAATCCCTGATTTTGCAGGTGCAAAAATTAAGCCTCCAGAGAACTGACTTCCTTAGGCTCTACTCCTAGTGTTATTGTGTTGGATAAGCAGCTTAGCTGCCCGCGCTGGAGGCTCGGGGCACTGGCCGGGCCCGGGGGCATGTGCCTGCAGGGCTCCTGCGTGCAGAGACCTGGACCAGCATGCTGGACCCTGGAGCGACGGGCGGCCGGGCTCCAGGGAGCCGGCTGTGTGCTAACAGCATCCATCACGGAGGAAGCCATTCGTCTACACTGCCGGAAACACAAGACCCTCAGATACCGCAGGTTGTCAATAAGGGCGAGGCAGGGAATAGGGCAGTGGGCTGAGCTCAGATCCCCCGGTTCGGTCAACTTTCGAGAGGGGGGAGGGAGCAGCTTACTTCGGGACGGTGGCGGGGGGCGGGCAGAAACGAACGGGGTGCTATCTCAGGCAGGTGTGAGTTACCCCACCCCTCAGCGCCTTCCGCCGAGGGGGGCCGCCACGCATTCTCTCGCCCTCCGGCAAGGACAGCCGCCCGCCCCGCAGGCAGGGAGGGAGCCCCTCGCTTCTCGCGCAGCAGCCGGGGCCGGACGCGCTCGGCCCCCGCCGTCCGCGCGCCACGCCGCGGCGGGACAGCGGGATGCGGCGCGCGGCCCCCGCACGCCCCCGGGCTCGCCTGCTCTAAGATGGCGGCGGAGGCAGCTCGCTCACACCCCGCCGCCCGCGCTCCTCCGAGTCCGGGCCGCAGGAGGCGGGAGCGGGCCTGAGCGCCGCGAGCAGGAGGGCGCAGGCGGCTCGGACCCTCCAGTCCGGCGCGAGCCCCGGAGCTTTGAAGCGCCCAGGCATGCTAGAAGCCAGGACGCGGACGCAACTGCGAACACAGCCGGCGCCTCAGAAACGAAGAGGGGAAAAAAAAAAAAAAAGGGGAAAAAGAAAAAAAAAAAAAAAAAAAAGGGCGAGCGAGCGGCGGCACATCCGGGACCCTCCGCCCGCCCCGCCCCGGAAATGATGTTTCAGGCCAGGAGCGGGGGAGGAGACCGCTCTTCAAAGTGGATTCTTTCCCCGCCGTAGTTGGTCTCCCCACAAAGTGTCTGGAATCGCCCTCAACACCCCCTCTCCCGGGTTACTCGTTACCCTCTCGCGGCTCTGGGGCGTCTCTGCACAAAGCTGGCTGCCGGGACTGGCAGCTGTCGCCTCGCAGAAAGTACCCCTCGCACCACGCCCCTGCACTCCCCCTGCTGCCTAGTTAGCGCGTGGAGTAAGCCTACCTCCGAGAGGACTCTTGGGTGACCTCGGCCCCTGCCAAACCTAAGCGAAGCTCCTCGGAGCCCTTCCTCGGAACCCCGCCTCGCCCTCCCCGCGCCCCCGCCCAGCCCGGCCCGGCCCAGCCCAGCCCAGCCCTCCACCCCGGCCCGGGCTCGGGGCTGTCCGTCACGGTGCTGAGCCCGCCCCTTCCGGCGGCTCGCCGGGCCCGCCTCCTCCCCTCTTCCCTCCCCACCCCTCCCCGTGCGAGTGTCTCCCTCTCCCTCTCGCTCCCTCTCTCTCTCCCTCTCTCTCTCTTTTGTGAGTTATAGCAACCGTTGCCTTGTGAATCAAGCGCCATAGTCACCGTAGTCCTGGCGACTGTTACCCATCAACAACAACTACTCCTCTCCTCCTCCTCCTCCTCTTCCTCCTCCTCCTCCTCCCCACCACCACCATCTCCATCACCCACCAACAACACCACAATAATCCACAGCCAAGGTGAATATTCTTCGGTCTCTACATGTGTGTGGGAGCGTGTGGCTGCGTGTGAACGCGTGTGTCCGTGCGTGTGTGTGTCCGTGTGCGCGAGCCGAGTGTGGCTGTGCGGGGGTCTCACTCCTGACACCGGGGGCTGCCGCTGCGGCGCCGCCGCCGAGGGGCTCCGTGCCCCGGCTTGTTTACAATGGACCGAGCGCGCCGCGGCTGGCTCGGGGGTGTGGGCGCCGCGCCGCCCCGGCCCTCGGCGGCCGCGCTTCAGGGATGGAGCGGGCGCGCTGGGGGCTGCGAGGCGAGCGGGAGAGGGAGCCACAGTTCCCCGACGCGGATGGTGGAGCTCTCCCCTAGGTCTGGCTCAGAGGAGGAGGGTCAGGTGAAGAGAGAAGGCTTGCTTGCTTTCTTCCTTTAATTTTCTTCTCTTCCAAAGCTGCTGGTTTCCTGCTTCTCTCCAAACCGAAATAGACAGCAGCGTGCCGGGGGGACCCAAGAGGTGGTGTCTTGTTGTTGTTGTTGTGCACTTGTGGGGCCTTGTTACGGGTTTTGTTATTTTTATCCTCGTACAACGGTGAACTTTTCCCACCGCCTATTCCCTTCATTTTTGCCCCTCTTTGCCTTGTGCTAAATGGGCTGCTCTGCTTTTGCCATCATCAGCTGCACGGTTTCTTTTTTCTTTTAAAACTGTGTTTTCTTTGTGCTGCAAACAGTCTTAATATCCATTCAGCACTCTTCCCTCTCCCCCCCTTTCTTTTCCCCCCACACCCCTTGCACACACATTGAAACCAGGGGCCTCTTCGCTGAACTCTTTGCTGCAATGGAAAAGAGATTTTTAAAACAAGTCTCTCTCTTCTCTCTTTCTCTCTTTTTTGGGGTGTGTGTGTGTGTGTGTGTGTGTGTGTGTTTGTATGCGCGCGCGCGTGTGTGTGCTTGTGATTTAAACCAGATGCAGGGCATCTGTGATACTTGGGTTAGTAGTTATTGACAGTGCTTTATCCTTCATGTGGAGATGGGAGGGGTAGTAGTGAGGTTCCATTTCACTTTGATGAACCTCCTTCCCCACAGTGGAGTGTTAACAGTTTTCATTGTGGTTAGGAGACTTTGTGTGTGATAAATAGGGAAAGGGCATAGGGAAGCTTTGTGAGAACTCAGTTTACAATGTTATTTGTGACAGTTGTAGTACTTTAAAGAGTTTTTTTTCCTTCATCTTCTCTGTTCCTTTTCCTTTGAGAGTTGAAATTGAAGTCAAGTTGTTCATAAAGAATGTATGAAGCTTCTCAACTTGAAACGTGTGTATATTTCACTTTCTTTGTGGTTGTTAAGATCTAGGCTTGTGTGTACTTAACATATTCTTTTTTGTTTACTTTTTGGTTTTCTTTGGACAGTGACTTAAACATGCTGACGAGAGAGAACTTTTTTCTTTTTAAGTCTGTCTTTTAAAAATCCATTTTTCTCTGAAATTTGAATACTTATCAGTCCTCAAGTAGTAGGGCTCTTGGCTAGAGGTAACCCAATTTTACAGATCCTGTAAATTTGTTCATTTTTCAGCCTAACGTTTAATTAAGTAGCTTATTGGTAAAGCGTTTGATAATGAATGTGTGCTAAAACAGATATAGTGTGCTGTTATATTTGTACATACTGAAGTTTCCAATTTGGAATTTTAAAATAGGTATTTAAACAGTCTTCTTTCTCACAGCAAACACATATTGATTTACCTAACAGAGAAGCCTGTGAATAATGTGACAGTATTAATTATTCTTGAGATTGTCAATGAGCAGGTTGGGTAATTGTAACACCATTAAGGCTAGTATTTTGTAAAATAAGAGTTGGGGTTTTCAAAAAACTTTTCCTCTTTCAACTCATTGCCTTGTGATTGCTGTTTTAACTGAGCATGAAAGAAGTCTTTCTCAGTGCACTCAAATTTCTTTATATTTATTCCCCAACCTGGGTTCCATGCAAATCTCTAATACTAACTTGTATTTTTTTTTTCTGTTCAGATGAGTGTCAAATGCCTGAACACTTTTGGATGGTGAAGCTCCTGGGTCCTATAAACTGTCTCTGAAGTTAATAGGAGTTTTGCTGTCTTGAGACAGTTTCAGACCTTATGCCATTTACATAATAGGTTTTCAGCTGAGTAGATTATATGCTTTAATGTTATGGTTTAATATTTTTATTTGCAGTGTCCAAGAACTTTTTTGAGGCATTTCACTCATTACAGTTATCCATAATTTAGATAATTTAGATTTTTCAGTCACAAGTTGATCTGAGAGCAGAACTTAAATTGAATTCTCTTACCCATTTTTAAAAGCACATAGGTGGTATAAAAGTTGCTGTATAAAAGAGGTGCTTTGGGCTCAAGTATGTCAGTGTTATTCATATGGATTGAGTAAATAGTCACTAAAAATACTAACGTAATGATAAATTTTAAAATTTAACATGAGGGTGAATACTTAGCATTTAGTTTCTTCTTTCTGTGATATTCTTCCTAGGAAGAACTATATTATGTATTGGCATTCTCCTGTGTTTTCAGTTTTTAGACTAATTAAAATCTGTGAAAGTGACCATGCTTTAAAACGAAAAGTATTAAGTAGGAGTTACTTAAAAACTTGTTTTGAATAGCTAAATATCTGTGATTCATTGTATGTCATAATGCCTATCTCAAGCTTTTGAAAGATTGTTTTGCCTATGAATTTCATTAAATGGTGTAGGCATATTTATGTAGTACATTTGTATGCATAAGATGGTACACTAAAATGCATTCCTGAAGTGCATCATTCCACAATGTTTTCATTATATGTGGTAGTTATGCCTAATTTTAAAAATAACAGTATTTCTCTAGTATTCAGATGATCCTGTATTCAGGTACTTAAAAGATTTATAGTTTATAAATTTAACATCCTTTAACCCTAAACAAATATTGTGTACCCTAAACAAATTCAACGTGGTTAACTTTTTACCATTAAAAAATTAGCAGTTAAAAAGTGAATGAATCATTAGTCAAGATAGATTCAATGTATTATGTAAATGATATGTTACTTTTTGGTAACATTGTTTATTCTTGAGAAAGCTGATGTTGTGAGTGCTTTTCTCTAACCTTCCAACTGAGGAAATTAGTAGATGGAGTATGATTTTGCTGTTCAAATTTTTAAAGTGTAAGAGTGTGTGTGCGTGTGCGTGCGTGCGTGTGTGTGTGTGTGTGTTTAAAAGGGTGAATGTAGCATCATGTGTATGAGAAGAGTTAAAAAAAAAAACAACTTTCCTGCACAGGCTAGTGGGAATGTTACTTTGTTCTTGGCATATATAGTGCAACTGTATTACAAGAAATGAGAATACCAAAGAAGTAAGCTTTTAAATTGTGAAGAGTCTTCAGGGAAGTAAACGTTTAAATTAAAATGAGTCGGCTAGTTGTTTGTTTGTTTTGATGCTGAGCATTAGACAAAAATGCTCTACTTCCAGTTACTTAAAAGAAAAAACAAAACAACTTAGTTTCCCTAATGGAATAATTTGCCTTTACCTGTTGGCATATAGATTCCTAGTGGCCATGGCAAAACAGATTTTACATTCCTCTCTGTTCACAGGTGCGTAGTGTTCCCATATTTTGGAAATCCAAGATTAAGTGGATTTGACTAAATCTAGCTTGTTAGGGACAGATGGCTGCTTTAAACAGGTGTCACTTTCATTTCTAGTGCTTTGTGTTGGGACTTCCAGTGGTTCACAAAAGGGCTGTCTGAAGCAGTTCTTTGCTTTTGTCCTTAGTAAAATATACTTTTGGAGTTAATTATTTTCCTAGGAAGTTTCTTTCTTTAAGTAGAAGTTTTGAACTGTTCAAATTGAGATTCATAATTTAATTAACATACTTTTATTTCTGATTATCATTCTATTTTCAAGCTGTATAAGTTGTATAAGCACTTTACACAATCAAATCAAAATTATCTGAAGCAAAACGCCAAGGAAGATTTAAATAAAGTGAAATTTGGTTAACATGACAACCTAACTTTTGCCATGCTATCCTTAAAGAATTTTTTTTGACAGCATTATTTTAATTTGAGTAAGTGTTGGAAACCAATATTGTTTTTGTTTATTATTTTAAATATTTTCAAACTAAAGCATTTTCCTGACCTACTTCAATTGTTACTATAACATTTTTAGTGGTCTTTTTAAGTGAAAATTGTTGTTAAGCATTAATGTTTAAAAATATGTACTGGAGTAAATAAAAGAGTATCAACTGATTGATTTCTAAGGTTCATTTTTACTTTGATTCTATCCTTTTTTGTGGGAATTTTATACATCTTAGAACAGATGCAGCAGAGGGTGCTGTGCTGTTTGCAACATGAGATTATCATCACTAGAAATGTGAACTGATTAGAACTTTTATTTAAAGAAAAAATGTTAATTATATATGCATTCAAGCATATAATAGCCTTATTTCTATTGAGTTTAAATTTAATACACTGTCTTAATTGGCAGTTTTGTACCAAAGCCTGTCTCTGTACTGGTATAATATATATTAGCACAACATAAGATAGTATCAAGATTGATACTTTGGCATAGTTTGAATATCAGCATTAGTCCTTTAGGTATACACAAGGATCATCTTCCTATGCAAGTATGTCAATCTCTGTTTCAAAAATTGAGGTTAACCTGAGAATCATACTATTTTGGCAGTATGGTTCTATACTCCATAGATTGGGTATTGTTGGCATCTATGGATATATTGTAAATTCTTAAAACGTTTTTATATGGTATAATTGATGATAGGCTATTACAGTATGATTTTTAAAAACTGCCTCAAAAGTGTAAGTGGTAATAATAGTTGTCAGGCTAATTAAGTCAACAACAATAATAATATTAAAAATTTGGAGAATTCAGTGCCCACTTGATGCTGTTGAAGTAGTCTTGTTTGACTCTTTAATCTGGCTTTATTATTATCTGAAAAGTTTTAGATTCTTTGCCTTGCTCTGTGCCATATACTTCTAAACTAGAAATGGTTGGATATTGTTCTCTGTATC